AGGCCCCGAATTCCCCGAGTGTCGTCTTTGCTGCTTCGCTGCCTTGCGACAGCACTCACACCCCAACAGTGTGTGGTCTTCATCTTTACTTTAATTTTATTAAGTCCAGAAGTCATTGAGAAGCATCCTTTTAATTTCCGAAAAGACAGCATTTTTCAACTGTCTTTTCCCGGGGAACAAAGGCCCGAGAACACGGCCCCCCATTCCCGCCCCCCACCCCGTTCTTTGACCTTTGACCCGGAGCTTGGTCCCCAGCGCGTCCGCTTTGGTAGACGTCGTCTTGGGCTCGGGAGATTGTGATTTTCTGATGGTTCGGTGCGAAATCCTACACGCTGTCTAACACGTCAGGCTTGTCCGTCGGCCTTGTGGTCGGTATTTTGCTAATTCCTCCTGCCAGCTTTGCTCACATAACGTTTGTTTAAAAAAATGATCTTCCCTCCCAGGGCGGGCTGGTCCGTCCCTCCCTGTGCCGGCATCTTTTCTCTTACACAGTTACAGGCTGTTTAACTAGGGTGTTCAAGCGTAATGTGGTTTTGTCGTTGCAGGAGAATTGAATCTGTTTCTTTTAATTGACTGACTGCAGGGGGGGGGGGCGACAGAGACGCTGGTTTGTTGTTCCACACACTTCGGCTTTGTGGCTTGATGCTCCTGCGTGTCCCGACCAGGGACCGACCCCACAACCTTGGCGCATCGGGATGCCACACGAACCCACTGAACCGCCTGCCAGGGCCCCCGCAGCTTCCTTTCCCGAGGAAGCGGAGCTCCTGCCCGTGCGCCCTCCTCCCTCCGTTTGTGGGCCCCGTCGTCAGCTCGCGGCCGGAGCGCATGCGTGGGAGCCGCTGTGCGATGCGCCTTCGGCTGGGGACTCGGACCCGTAATCCGAGTGAGTTGCTTCTGTCGTCTGACTTTATCGCTGGGTCTCGGTCCTGCGTTTCACACTCAGGTTTTCTCCTCCTGGTCTCTCTCCTCGGTTGTTCGCGTTCTCGGCTCTGCCAGGCGGGACATTCCTAGTTCTGCTCTCCTCCTGCGTCCCTCCCACTCGGGACTGTGTCCCCTTTCCTGGGCCACGGGGGACCTGAGAGCCCTTGAACTTGACCGAAGCCCCTGGTCTCCACACCGTGTTTTCAGGACAGTGTGCTCAGCTGTCGTTTTAAGAGCCCCAACCCGTGGCATTTCTCCCCCCATTTAGATGCACCTGTTTCCCTCTCAGCCTCGCCTTCCCAGGAGCACGGCTCCGGGGAACCGAGCCTGGTGGCCAGGTATTTGCGGGGTTGCGGCTTTGCGTTGCCAGCAGCTGCCCCGTGCTCCTGCTGCAGGTCTTCAGGCCACATGTGGGTGTTGCCACACTTGAAATGGACCAGATTCTGGTGTCGCCCGGACTGTCCAGGATCCGAGAGTCGGTCGCCTGGACTGTGCGCTGGGAGCAGGGCACGTGCGGACCTGCTGACCTCGGGCAGGCCTTGGCGGTGCTGGTGGAGCGCGGCCGTCGCGTAACTGGAGTGGGCTCGTCTCCTCTCTGAAGCGGCTTTGCTGTTCAGGGGGCCGAGATCCAGGCTGCTTCCTCGGCCCTGTGGGGCCGGTTCTCCACCGACCTCTCCCCACCGCTGCTGGGGGAGGCTCCTGCCCTTCTGGTCGCTTTTCTCTCCGAGGTGAACAAGTCTCTCTCTGCTGCTTGTAAAAAAGTTCTCGCTTTCTGCTGTGGCACCCACTTTGTTAGGGGTTTGTTTTCACTTGTGCCCTGGGATGTTTTTGTGCTTTGCATCTGTGCAGTGTTGCCTCAGTTCTGGAAAATTCTTGGAGATGTTGTCGAGGACCGCCGCTCCGTACCCCCCTCTCCTGCCCCCCAGGACCCCACTGGCCGTAAGCCGTACCTCTGCTCCCGCTCCTGCGTCTCTCACCTGTCCCCAGGTGTTCCTCCCCGCTGCTTCGTTCTGGGCGACTTCTTCAGCCCGTCTTCCTGCTCCGCCGCCCTGCCCGCCCTGCGGGAGTTCTGTCCCTTGGGCTGCTGTGTCTCCTTTCCGGACTCGGGCCTTTTCGGTAGAGTCCTGCTGCCGCCGGCTTCCTCCAGTCCTTTTCCATCAGGCCTCGGGCACCTGTCGCTTTGTGCCCAGGGCCCGGCTGGTGCCTGTCCGAGGCCGTCTCTGCAGGCCCTGCTCTCGGTGCTTTCTGCTTGGGGCCCGTGCCCAGAGCTGGGTCTCACGACCTGTGCTGACCCTGGGGCTGGAACCGCAGCCTGGGGATGACAGCTTCCTCCCTGGGGTCAGGGGTGTGACCCCATGGGAATTTCCCCCCGCCCGCCGTGGGGCGGGTTCCTCGCTCACCTTCTGGTGGCACGCCTAACAGCCTGGGCCTCCAGGGTCCGGTGTCTTCGTCTTGCCCACCCAGGCGCCAGCCTGGAAGGAGGGGGCGGGGGGAGCGTCCCAGCACCGTTTCCGTGACACCCGTGAGCCCAGGTCACCCTGGCCGCCCCACTGTCAGTGTCCTGGTGTGTGGACACGGCCTGTCTCCCGTCCCGCTCATCAGGTCCATCTCCTGCACTTCCTCCCTCCGCCCTTGGTTCCCAAGTCCTGCCCCATGTGACCTGCCTGTCCCCACGTCCCTGGCACCGCTCCAATTCACCTGCACAGACTGGACCCCTCCAGGGCAGCCCCCCAGCCCCCTCCACAGCAGCGGGAGCTCCAGCACACGGGGCGCCTCTGAGCCCCCCACTCTCGGGACCCAGGTTGTCCCGGTGCTGAACCATCCCTGAGCATCGCGGGCTCTGTGAGGTGGCGGCGGCACGGGTCAGGGCTGTGCTCAGCGCCCCTTCGAGGGGTGCGGCCTGGCTCGCCTGAGGTGACCCTGTCACCTGGTGGGCCCTGGTGGACGGCCTCCGCCTCCCCCTGCAGGTGCTGCTGGAGGAAGCCAGGGACGTGCTATCTGACTGGCTGGACGCCACGCACGGCAGCGAGGTGACCGACAACTCCATCTTCTCCAAGCTGCCCAGGTTCTGGGAAGGGGAGTTCCACAGGGACATGCAGGCCCTGAACGTGAGTGTTGCGGGGCCGCCTGCTGCTAGGGTCGGGCGCAGGGCGTGTGCGGGACGGAGGGGCATCGGGCATCTCTGCCTCCGCAGGTCCTCCCTCCCGACGCCCTGACCCGGGTCAGCGAGTACGTGCCAGAGATCGTGAGCTTCGTCCAGAGGATCGTGGACAACGGCTACGGGTGAGCTCGGCCCCACGGTGTCCCCAGAGGGCTTCCCAGGCAGCAGCACACGTGGGGGCCTGGGGCCGCCGTCACAGAGGCAGAGGCCTGACACCACCCTGTGGGCAGGCCGGCCCCTCGGGCCATGAGGGGAGGCCTGTCTCAGGCACCCGTGGGTGGCCGCCAGCGCCGCGTCCCCACGTGGCTCTGTGCATGTGGGCCCCGAGTCTCCACTTTGGCCCGATCTCCTCCTGTCAGGACACATTGGTCTTACTGGGCTGGTGCCCGGCCGTGTCTCCCCTCGATGGCCTCTTCAGAGTCAAACACGGCCCGAGGGCGTGGGCCCAGAGTAGCGCAGGGTCTCCAGGACAGAGGACGCTGCCCCCTCTGCCCATGCCACACGGTCACGGCAGACATGAGACACAAGACGTGTGCACACCGTGTGGTGTGCGTGTGCCAGGCCTGGGGGAGAACACAGGTCATCGCAGGCTCCTGGGATGTGGAGAGGCAAGGGTTTGTCTCCAGGAGGTGGTTGTCACCAAGGCAGGGCCAGGGCGGGGCCGTGTGCTCACAGGACAGGAGACGGGGGTCTGTGCGGAGGGACACGCTGCCTCTGCTGTGGGCGTGTCCTGGTCCTGTCCGGCTCGGCCCATGACACCGGGGGTTTGGGATCGCATCGCAGGGGGCGGGGCCGGGAGCAGAGGGTACGGTGGGCCGGGCTCAGTCGGCTACCCTGTGGGCTTTCTGGGCCCCGTCCTGCGGTAGCCCAGGGCTGACTCTGGGCCGGCACACTCTTCCCAATTTCCGTTTCGTTTTCCAGCTACGTTTCAAACGGGTCTGTCTACTTTGACACGGTGAAGTTTTCGTCCAGTGAGGGGCACTCGTACGGGAAGCTGGTGCCTGAGGCTGTGGGGGACCAGAAAGCTCTGCACGAGGGGGAAGGTGAGTGTGGGGCAGGTGGGGGAGATTGGGGGCGTGGGCCAGGCCGGCACCGAGGTTCCTGGGACCATGCTCTCTCACCTAAACGAGATTTCAGGAGTTTTCTATAAACTTGTAAAATGTATTGTTACTATTATTATTATTTTTTAATATATCAATGGGTTTTTTTTTAAGATTTTATTTATCTTTGGAGGGGTAGGAGAGAAGGAGAGAAACATCAATGTATGGTTGCTTTTTGTGCGTCCCCTGCTGGGAACTGGCCTGCAGGGGACCTGCTTGCAACCCAGGCATGTGCCCTGAACTGGGAATCGAACCTCGATCCTCTGGCTCACAGGCCTGTGCTCAATCCACTGAGCAATACCAGCCAGGGCTTAAAGTGTATTATTTTTAAGTAGGCAAACAAATAAATACAAACAAACAAGCAAACAAATCTTGAATGACACAGGTTCGAACTGCACGGGTCCGTTATACGCAGGTCGTTTTCAGTAAATACTGTAAAAGCATTTTCCTTATGATTTTTTTGAAAGACTTTATTTATTTATTTTTAGACGGGGAGTGAGGGAGAAAGAGAGGGAGAGAAACACCAGTGTCTGGCTGCCTCTCGCGCGCCCCCTACTGGGGCCCTGGCCCACAACCCAGGGGTGTGCCCTGAGTGGGGATGGAACTGTGGACCCTCAGGTTGGGGTGGGGGCTTTGTGGGCACATGTCGGGGAACCTGGTGCTGGTGGTTAAGAACGGGTGGGCTGTCAGCCTGAGTGAGGAGGTGCAGGCCACCCTCAGGGGTCGGCACGGGCTCCCTCAGCAGCTGAGTGCCCCGTTTGGGGAAGCGAAAATCCAGGGCCCTGTCGATGGAGGCAAGAACGTGGGGTCGCAGGCTGTCACAGGTTCCAGACGGAGGCACAGTGGGCGGGGCAGGTGCTGGCCCTCCGGTCCCGGGAGCAGGCAGAGCCAGGAGCTGGTGTGGCACCTGTTCCTGCTGAGGCGCCTGGGGGTGTCTCCCGTTCTCTAGGCTGTGCTCTGAGCAGCGGCTTCAGCAGGTGTCCTGGGAAAAGCAAGGTGGGAACTTGAGGCCGAAATCCAAGTTCAGGTCCTGCTACGCACACCCGGCTCCCAGGGCAAGCCAGTTGTCACGTGGACAGTGCCCAGGCGGCAGCTCCAGGCAGGTGGCTCGCACGCGCCAGCAGCCCCTGTCCCTCTTGGGCCGAATGTTTTACACGCAGACATAGGCTCTTCTGGGCCAGGTCATCACCTTCGTCTTTCATAGTGTTTTCTCCGTCCCCGCCCCTGAGTGGCCTGGGGGACAAACCATGGAAGCGGCAGTCCTGCGGGGCGGGGTGGGGGCGGCCTTCTCAGGACTGGCACCCACGGTCCTCTTCCCACCGGTGATTCAGGCAGGGGCTTGGCCTTTGAAATACCTCTTCATGAATAACATCACCTCTAGGGCTCTGTGGTGAAGAAATACCAGGACCGAAAACGAAACATTCGGAGGACGTCACGTCAGTTTATCAGCTTTCTTTTTTTTTTTGAGCAGAGATCACTTTTATTGGCTTGGTTTTGCTTTAAGAAAAGGAAGAGACAAAGCCAAGAGACAGACTGCTACCAGAGACCTGGAGGTGGCTGGACGCTTCTGCCCATGCTGTGCAGGGTGGGGTCCTGGCCCACGCGTCCGTGCCGCTCATTCCTCTAGACCAAGCTCGACCCAGGCTTCGGTGCACCTTCTCGAACACGCTCACCTCCAGGTGCAGCTCGTCCCTCCTCCTCACCCTTCCGCTCACACTCGAGCTTGTCCCCGTCCCAGCTCACCCTGGTCATGCACTTGAGGTCATCTGTGCCTGTTAGCTCCTCCTCAAACTCCTTCCCAACCTGGAAGTCCAGGATGTAGTTCCTGAAAGTGCTCAGCGTCCGGATGATCACGTGGTCGCCATCCTGCACGATCTCTCTGTCTGGCTTTAGCAAGTTGGCGGTTTTGTGCGAGGCCACGTTGACATCGAGCGCGCGCAGGTACTCCTCGAAATTCTCGTTGGCCAGCATCTTCCAGTACCCGGTGAAGTCGACTGGCATTTTGGGGGGCAACTGGGGCCGGACAGCCTCGGATCGGGTGGGAGCCGCTCTAGGCTCTGCCAGGGCAGCGGCTACCGAAGCGACCCAGCTGGTGGGCAGCCTGAAAATGTGCGCCCTCAGATGGGGCGGCGACAGCTGGGTTCCGAGAGAGCGTGCACAAAGCGCGCAGGAGGATCCATAGTAGCCGTCACTCCCACTTTATCAGCATTAACGTGACACCAACGGCCTCACATTAGACTTGTCAGAGGAGGCGTGTTCGCGATGCTCAGACCCCCATCCCTGGAGGCCCGTTGAGGACACAGGACCACACGGCAGGGGCCCGTCCCTGGCGCCCAGAAGCAGACACATCCACACCTGTTACAAGGCCGACACACTTCCGGACAGGGACGCACAGCGTGGGTGGGGTTGGGACGCATGACGGCGGCCGGCCATGGTCTAACAGCAGAGCATCACCTCCGGGACCTCGGACTGGCCTCTGCCTGCAGGGCCGAGCAGGGGACCGCACGCAGTCTGACTGCAGGGACCGGGTTGCTGTCGGGGCTGATGGGCACAACGGGCCGAGGCCACAGCCAGGGCTCGGAGGCCAAGGGGGCAGAGTTGACGGGCGGCCCTGCCTTGCCGACAGGTGTGCACGCCACCCGCCTTCCCGTGGCCCGCCGGATGCCCTGGGAGAAATGGGCCAACCTCTCTGCCATCGTCAAACTCCCCGATGACCACCAGGTCGTCCTCATGTGAGGAAGACAGAAAACGGCAGCTCCGTGTCTGCCGTGGGCGTCGGGGCCGGTGAGCACCAGGCCCCCCCGGGGAGGCCATAGTCAAGGTCAGCGTCCGATCAGGCCTCCTACAGAGGGGACGCCTCTGTGTGCCTGAGCCATCTCAGCCGGCCAATCCAAGTGTGAAACTGTCCCACCGTTTGGAAGGAAAAGGCCCCTGCAAACCCGTGCAAAACCATTCTTCCTAACAACCGCAGGAGGCGGCCGTGTGGACAGGATGTGGCGTCTGCACTGCCGGCTGCCAAGGGCCGTGTCGCCGGACTGGGGCTCAGGGATGGAGACCAGGAAGGGGGAGCAGCGGCCCCGGGAGAGGGAGAGAGGACAGCACAGGGACGTGGGAGGGAGACGGGGCCTCAGACACACGCACAGGGAGAGACCGGCAGCGAGACCGGTGAGTGGACGGGGAGGTTCCGGAAGGACGAGGACAAAGCGGACCCGACCGTGGCTGCTGGAGCAGCGTCAGAGGAAGGGACCCTGAGCCCGCACGGCCTTCAAGGCTCAGCCGCAAGAGGCAGCCCAACCTCCAAAGGGCCTGTGCACAAGGAGCCTCCTGGCGTGGAGCTCGAGCAGCTGCAGGGTGAGCCCGGCCATCAGACCCGCAGGGCCGTCCTCCTCAGTCCGTCTTCTCTCGGGCTGACTCTGGATCCTGCTGGAATTCCAGGGGTGAGAGAGGTGAATTCAACAGGAAATGGGGACGACAGGGGCGCAGCCCCTCCTTTAGGGACATTTATTTCCACTTCTACCTGCTGGTGACACTCAGACACGTGACACCCCAGGACAAGGAGGTGTCCTCTTGCATCTACACGTCGGGACTCCAGCAGGGAGTGGGGGCTGGCGACGGGCCCTCCCCGAACTGCAGGGGGCCCAGCAGGTGCCTCTGGCAGGGAGGCCAGAGTGACACTGGAGGGAAAGAAAAGGGCGTGTGACTTCTCTTAAAAAAGTCCCCAGCAAGTTCCCCTGTCACCACACAATGACAATTGGTGTGTGTGGGGGGGGTATGTGCAGAGCGAGGCCCTCTTCTCTCTGCCACAGAAACTTCCACAGTAAATTTTAAAAGTACAACGAAATATCGAAGACCTAAGTGTCTGTCGCCGGTCAGAGGGCGGCTGAGAAAGAACTTCACGAGGCCCCAGCCGATATTTGCGAGTGGTCCCTGCTGTGTCGCCAAGACTCGAGGAAGTAGATAGAACCTGGGCCGGCGAGTGTCCCATGTGCCGGCTATGGCTGCGCTCTGCTCGTTCGGGTTTTAGAAAACCACAGGGCTGCCCGTCGTTACACGGAAGCGAGGACAATGCCACACCCTGTGGTCTCCAGATCCTTCCCCGCGTCCGCTGAGCGCTCAGTGTTTAAAGTCTTCTGACCATGAAGTTGGAGAAACCCCGCAGAGCCTGGCGCCTGCCTTCCCGATGAGTCAGACGGGCGTTGATGCGCTCACGCCGCATCGGCCGCTGGTAACAGAAATGGCTTTCCGGTTCCGGAGTCTGTAACCAGAGGGCGACCGTGCCCAGGAGAGGGCCTGGCCAGAGCTTGTCCAACTCCGTGTGGGCAGAGTCCTCCTCATGCAGCTTGTCCTTGTGACCACGGCACACTCTGCGAGCGGGTGGGGCCGCTGGGCGGGTTTTTGTTCCCACAGCACGAGAGTGTCCCGTGGGCCCGACACTGGGCCTACACGTCCCCAGTGCCGACTATGCTCCCTCTTCTGGGTGACCAGCCATCTGTCCTCCAGGGCTTGTGGCCTCCTCCCCGTCGCCTATCACCTCTATCTGTGAACACGGGAGGGTCACCGAGTGTCCCGATGGACCACCTCCAGGCCTGGGAAGCCACACACAGAGGGTCCATGGCCCTGTGTGCCACCTTGGCTCACAGCTGTTGACTTGAAACCCCTGCTGAGCCAGGGCCCTGAGGCCCGCCTGCCAGCTGCCATCATGAGTCACCTCCCCTTAGACCAGAGCCCGTCACCTACCGTAGGCTACAGGGGCAGTGGGACAAGTGTCTGAGGGAAGGCAGGTGAGGAAGGGGCCTTAGCCACGGGCCTGTGAGCGGGTCAGCGACTCCCGAGCGTGCGGACGGGCTCCCTAAACCAGACGCCAGGCCACACCTGTCTGGGTAGAGGGACACGGAGGCACATCGACCATGTTTGCAAACGGACAGCAGTTGGGGGGACTTGCCGGCAGGCACCAAACTGGCCTGGAGCCCTGGCCGGTGTGCTTGGTCAGTGGGAGCATTGTCCCACGCACCGAAAGGTCATGGGTTCGATCCCCAGTCAGGGAGCTTATGGGACGCAGCCAGTGTTTCTTTATCTCTTCCTCCTGCTTAAAATGTGATGAAAAAAGTGCTCTAGGGTGGGGATAGAAGACAACTTCTTTAAACTGGCCTTGAAGTGAGGGTCACGCCCACGAGGCCACACTGAGTGACCCCTCCCCTCCTGTCCTCCGCAGGCGACCTGAGTGTCTCAGCAGACCGCCTGAGTGAGAAGCGCTCCCCCAATGACTTCGCCCTGTGGAAGGCCTCCAAGCCGGGGGAGCCGTCCTGGCCCTGCCCGTGGGGCAAGGCGAGCGCCGGGAGGGCGCGGGGCCGGGGGCCGGGGGGATGAAGGGTGTGGCGTGGGCAGAGTCCTTTGCTAGTGCCTCCCTCAGCTGCCCTGCTCCAGGTCCCGGTGCCCTGGGGCCGCACAGGCCTGTGGGCAGGTCGCTTGCCCTTGGGCCTTCTGTCTGCCCGCCTTGGCGGGGGGGTGTGGGCTGTGGGACCACCTTGGAGGCCGCTGTGTCCCAACGAGCTTTAACTCTGAACTCTACGGGCTTCTGGGGCCGAGCCCACCATGACGTGCCCCGTGTGTGACAGGGTCCAGACGGCCCAGAGCCCCGGGTGGGGGCCTTGGGGAGTGGCAGACTCGGCACGAAGCCGTGGGGAGCTGCTTGGGCGGGCCCCCTTCGTGGCCCCCTTTGCTCCCAGGTGGAATTTAACGGCTGCCCCGGGGAAACGCAGAGGCTTTGAGGGTCTGAATGCTGGGGGCAGCGGAGGGGGCTCAGGCCAGCGGGTCACTGGGCTGCTTCATCCCTAGGGCCGTCCGGGCTGGCACATCGAATGTTCCGCCATGGCGGGCACCCTCCTGGGAGCCTCGATGGACATTCACGGAGGGGGCTTTGACCTCCGGTTCCCCCACCACGACAACGAGCTGGCCCAGTCGGAGGTAGGCGCACCCCCGTGGGCGTGCCCGGCGTCCCCGCCCTGGTCGAGCAGCGTCGGGGGCTGTCAGCGGCGGTAGGGGTTGCATGTCTGCATGCAGCCTGGCTCCCCCGTCAGGGATCTGTCAGCAAGAAAGCGGACCCCAGTTCTCTAGGCCCGCTTCCCACGTTAAGAGCCCAGTCTTCACGGACAGACAGGCCAGATGGAAGCCAGGCCACCTCCCGGGTGGCTGGCCCAGGGGCGCGGCTCAGCGCCCGCGCGGCCTTCTCTCTGCGCCCAGGCCTACTTTGAGAATGACTGCTGGGTCCGCTACTTCCTGCACACGGGCCACCTGACGATCGCGGGCTGCAAAATGTCCAAGTCACTCAAAAACTTCATCACCATCAAAGATGCCTTGAAGAAGCACTCAGGTAGGCACTGGCCACTCCCGAAGGGCAGGCGCTGCTCCCCTGGACGTGGGGGCTGGCGACGGGGGCTCCCGGGGAGTAAGGGCTGCGGCTGTCCCTCCGCAGCGAGGCAGCTGCGCCTGGCCTTCCTCATGCACGCGTGGAAGGACACCCTGGACTACTCGGCCAACACCATGGAGTCGGCCCTGCAGTACGAGAGGTTCATGAACGTGAGTCCCCAGGCGGGCACGCTGCGCTCTGACCTGAACGGGGCACGGGCGGAGGCCAGCACGTGGGGAGGGCCGGCTCCGTCGGTCCACTGTCCTCCAGCGGTGCATCCGCGCCCCCACTAGAGTGAAGGGGCCGCACCCTCTCGCTGCTGGGCAGGCGGCCTGCCCGGGCCAGCTGGTGCCCGAGGGAGAGCTGGTCCGCACAGCTGCGCCTCGTCGCAGAGGCCGGAGTGGGCGAGCCGTCAGCATGCTGCTCAGAGGACTCTCTGACTTCAGGAGTTTTTCTTAAACGTGAAAGACGTCCTCCGCGCTCCTGTCGACAGCACCAGCCAGTTCGAAAAGTGGGAAGAGGAAGAAGCAGAGCTGAACGAGAGGTGAGGGTCTGACCTCCTCGGGTCCCAGCGCCCCTGACCTCGGCTGCCCCACCGGCAAGGCTGGGCGCTGACGCCCTGCGCCGTCCTCCCCCGCTCAGCTTTCACGGCAGGAAGGCGGCGGTGCACGAGGCCCTCTGCGACAACGTGGACACGCGCACCGCACTGGAGGAGATGCGGGCCCTGGTCGGCCAGTGCAACCTGTACGTGGCCGCCCGCAAGGCCGCGAGGAG